GTTAGCCATCAAGTACGTGCTGAAAATCAAACCTGGGTCCTCTTCAAGAGCAGCCAGTGCTCTTAACTGCTGAGCCATTTCTCCAGCCCTGGAATTCTAATCTTCTAATCATTCCCTTCCCACCCTGTAAAACTTTTGATTTATGAAAAGGGATTCTAATTTTTGATTGCTCCTAACACACACCCAATAAATTTTTTGGTTAGAGAGAGGGAGGGAGGGGAGGGAGAGAGAGAGAGAGAGAGAGAGAGAGAGAGAGAGAGAGAGAGAGAGAGAGAAAACGCCAGACTCCCTGGTGCATTCTGGGAATTTATGACGTTGGGAGGAGGGGAGGGGACTGAGTCCTTCCCTGTCTTTGGGAAGGACCCCTCCACTCCTCTTTTCTTCTTTTGTACCAATTCTTACCCAACTGGGAAACACTGTGAGGTTGAACCCCAGCCAATGGGGAAAAAAGACATAGTACTATTGCGTTAGGAGTTAGGGTAAAAATTTGTCGTATTCCCTGTTCCGTGCACTTGTTTCTCAGTATCTCTGTTGTGAGTAGTGCATCCTTTTGATCAGATGTAATGGTTTGCCTTGCTGAGACACTTTAATTAGAGTGGTGGTAGTCTCTTTCTTTGCCACCCTGAACTTATTTCTAAGAGCCAGTTGCATATCTGACACTAAAAGTAATTTTTTAAACCCAGTGAGAGGGAAATCCAAGATGTACATTTAAAACCCATGACTTTCTTTCTATGGATGAAAACAAATGACTACATTAAGTAGTTGTCCTAGTTTGTTCTTCATTGCTGTGACAAAATACTCTGACCAATACCAACTTGGGGAGGAAAGGGTTTATTCAGCTTACATCTCCCAGGTCACAGTAATCAGGGAGCCTAAGGTAGGAACTCAGGGCAGGAACCTGGAGGCAAGAGCTGGAGCACAGGCCATGGAGGAACACTGCTTACTGGCTTGCTCCCATGGCCCCTGCTCAGCCTGCTTTCTTATGCAACACAGGCCCACCTGCCCCGGGGTGGCACCACCCACAGTGGGCTGGGCCCTCCCACAGCACTCAACAATCAAGAAGGTGCCCCATGGACATGGCCACAGGCCAGTCCTATGGAGGCAATTCCCCAATTGAGGCTCCCTCAGCCCAGGTGTGTCAAGTTGACACTAGGAAAGCACAGTAGTCATTCTTTTTCTCTTACCATTAAGTTTTAGTGTGAAGCTAAATTATAAAAGGGAGCAAATGCTCTCTACAAAAGCAAACATTTTGAATATCTAGATGTGACATTCATGTTGATCATCAACTTGACAGGATCTAGAATCGCCTACATGACACACCTCTGGGCACAGCTGTGAGGAATTATATAGGTTAAGTTAGCTTCTGGCCATGTCTATGAGATTGGGTCTTGATTGGGTTAACTGAGGTGGGAGGATACACTAAAGCACTGTTCCCTCAGCTTGGGGCCCGGTGCTTCCTGCCGATGGGCACAATGTGACCAGTGCTTCCTGCTGATGGGCACAATGTGACCAGTGCTTCCTGCAGATGGGCACAATGTGACCAGCTGTCTCAAGCTCCTGCTGCCATAATCCTGTCATGATAGATTTTTCCTGATACCGTGAGTCAAAATAAACCCTTTTATCCTTAAATTGCTTTTGTCAGGGTTTGTTTTCACTGCAACAGGTAAAGTACACCAGATAAATGAACAAATAGTGGATATACCTTTGTGGGCTGTTTTTCTTAGAAAAGTTAATAAAAATAATTATCAGGAAGTATATTGAAAGGAGTGACACTTAAGCCAGTAATAGCAGTTCCAAGAATGGCAGCATGTAGACACAGGATAACAGAAATCATGAGGGCATAGAATAGCAGAAAAGAGGAAGAAATGTGAAAGACACAAAGGAAAGATGGGCAGCGCAACATAGCAGGGGTGCTGGACAGAGGAGGAGAGCGCAGCACAGCCGGGTGCTGGACAGAGGAGGAGAGCGCAGCACAGCCGGGTGCTGGACAGAGGAGGAGAGCGCAGCACAGCCGGGTGCTGGACAGAGGAGGAGAGCGCAACATAGCAGGGGTGCTGGACAGAGGAGGAGAGCGCAACATAGCAGGGGTGCTGGACAGAGGAGGAGAGCGCAACATAGCAGGGGTGCTGGACAGAGGAGGAGAGCGCAACATAGCAGGGGTGCTGGACAGAGGAGGAGGAACCAAAGAACCAAAACCATGATACTGTTAAAGAAACAGAGGTTAGATTACATTAACGAGAATTTGAATGTAAATAAAGATGCAGAGTTCTGAGCTGGATGTATAGTTCAATGGTAGACTGTGCTTAATACGCATATGACCCTGGCACCAAAAAGAAAAAGATGTAAAGTTTGAGTTAATGAGTTATCCCATGGGAAACACCCCAGTAGAAATCAGAATACATATGTTAGAATGAACTTTAAAACAGATTGGAACTGAAATAGTCACATTTTTTCCTTCCTTACTGGTGGAAGAAGGAAAGAGTTCAGAGATATGAATAGTGAGCCATAAAATTACAGTAAAAGAAAGTTTTAAGAAAAGAAGAGAAATATTTATAGCCATATTTGATCATAAGCAGCATCAGGCCTCAATTTCTCCACAATCATCTCTAAATAATTACAATGTCATGGGATATTTTGTGAGCTCCAGAGCTTCAACATGGTAGTAGTATACTAAAAGCTCTAAAATGCCTGAAGGACTTGTAAGAAACAGTGTTACATATTAATCTTTTCTTTCAAACTCTGTAGAATTTGTGACTTGGTTTATGACAGGGAATGCTAATTTTTTTTTTTTTTTTTGGTCTTTTTGAGACAGGGGGTCCCTGTAGCCCCAGTTGACCTGGAACTCACTATGTAGACCAGGCTTGAACACAGAGATCTGCCTGCCTCTGCCTCCTGAGTGCTGGGATTAAAGGCTTGTGCCACCACACCTAGCTGGAATTCTAATCTTTTAATGACACCGCACTCTGTAAGACTCTTGTTTAAGAAACTGTCCTGATGCATTTCTTAGCCTAATGGCCTAGAGTAATGTAGCTCTTTTCCCTTTGCTCCAGTACTTTAAACTAGCCAACCAGAAAAGACTGTGAGGTCAGACACCAACCAATGGGGAAAGACACAGTTCTCTTTTGTTAGAGATAAAAGCCCCCCATGCTTCCGGGTCCCATGTGCACTTGCTGAATCTGTCTGATCTCACAGGTCATCCTTTTGAGAAAGTAAAATCTGTGTTGCCGCATTACTTTTGCATTGTCTGAGTGTTCTTTGTGCAGTATTGATGGGATCCTTGGACCTCAGATTTTATTTCTAATGGACTCATCACTGTGATTTATTTATACATAATATTAAGAATTTACAGAAGAAATAAATATCCATTCCTGTCCTTTAAGGTATTACAATACACTATTCCTCCCAAACACTCACTTTTATTTGTGATTATACTGACTACTGTGACCTGGAAACCATGTTTTGATTTTATACTCTTGTAATACATAGAAAGAAAATTCGAATAGAAAGCAAGGGTCAATAAAAACCTCTTGAAAGTAATGTCCTGTTATAGTATACGTATGTTAACATAGATTAAGAAGGAACACAAACTTTTCAGCCTAAATGAATCATGTCCCAGTTTAAGAACCCCAAAATTAAGAATACTTTGTACCTTTTTGCCATACAGAGTCATGTTACAAAATTCCCTTGTGAGTAGATACGTAGGTTTCTGGGAATGTAGATTGCCTTCTTTCTCAAAATCTTTTTCTGCAGTGAGGAGAAAGCAGGGATATAAGCTAACTCCCTGCTCCATGGTTAAGGAAGGACTCTATGGCATCTGAGATGGTAAATGGCTCATTCCCTTCTTGCTAAGTAGTGAAGGGTTTTGCTAAGAGTTCTAAATTCTATTCTGAACCTTATTCCTCCATAGAAATGAACATATGGAGTCATACAGACAAAGGCATGCCTATAAAACCCTACTTAAATGATAAGATAGCAAACATTCTATTTGTATGCTAATGAAGACATGACAGTAGGAAACAGTATTCTTAAAATATTTGTGAGTTAGTCGTGGTGATTCATGTCTGTAATCCCAGCATTGGGAGGTGGAGGCAGGAAGATCAGGAGTTGAAGTTCATCCTTGGCTACATAGCAAGTTGGAGGCCAGCCAGAAAGCTACATGAGACTCTGCCTTAAACAATAATAACAAAAAGTTTGTGAATTAATAGGTTTGAGAAAAAATCCCAAGTATAGAATCTTTATTTTAAGCATAACCATGTTTAAAGTTATGATTTTGTGCAAATTTTCCAATTCTACCATAAAATTAATAACATCAAATTTCTTCAGAGTAAAATCTCTATCACTTTTCAGATGAAATATGAATTAGAACAGGTATTTTTGTTTGTTGTTTGTTTTTATGGTGCTAGAGATAGATTGAAAAACCTAGGCGCCATGAGGCCACCTGATAGGAATGCCTGACAAGAGGTCAAGCATTGAGAAACTAGCTTATCAGAAAAACAGGACGTAGTGGTCAAGCCATCTGCATCTGGCAATCCCCGGGGCTCGATACCAGGAAATCAGATCTGTACCATAAGTCACCCACCCAGAATTTAACAACTTAACTTCCTCATGCTTTATACTCGTTTGAATGGGCCAATAACCATGCTTCTGCTTCTGTACCCCGCTTCTGCTCTATAAAAGTGCCAAAACCCAGCATGGGGGCACGCAAGTCCTCCGAGGAGACTTTGTGCCCACAGGTACCTGTGTACTAAATAAACCTCTTGCTGTTGCAACCCGAAGGCTGACTTGTCCTCAGTGGTTTCACTCTTACAAAAAGCTGGTTGGTCTAGGCTTCAGGTCTCTTTTGATTTTATACTGGAGGGACCAGATGGCTTTAGTCCTGATGCTCAGGAGTTCCCACAGAGGCCCAAGTCGGATGAGGATCAGATGCTCTCAGGCTTTCTCCTAAGGTCTGGATCCCTCTAAATCAGTGAGACCCCCTCTGTAGTTTTTTATGGGTCTAATCTGGGCAGGGGCACCTCCCTGCCATCGGTATCTGAAATTCTCCTCTTCGCGCTGCGTGTCTGTCTGTGTGTCAGTAGAGTCTGTTGTTCATTGTTGATCGTTGTTTGAACCAAAGCTTTGAAATGGGACAAGGATTAACTACCCCTTTGAGTTTGACTTTAGATCATTGGAAGGAGGTGAAAACTCGTGCCCACAACCAGTTTGTGGAGATCAAGAAGCATAGATGGATTACTTTTTGTTCCTCAGAATGGCCAACCTTTAACTTAGGTTGGCCCCACGATGGGACATTCGATTCTGATGTTATTTTACAGATCAAAGCAAAAATCTTCTCTCCTGGACCGATGGGACACCCGGACCAAGTGGCCTATATAGTCACTTGGGAAAATCTCTCCCTTGACCCACCACCGTGGGTGACTCCTTTTCTCAGTCCTTCACGAAGAATCCCCCTCCCCTCTGCCCCTAACCCGGACCCTTCGACCACCTCCTTGTGTCCTGTGGTGGTAAAACAAAAGCCTGTTTTGCCCCCTGATGAGAGTGTTCCTCCGAATCCCCCTCCCTACCACCCTCCTCCGCAGGCCGCTGCGGCTGTCCCAGACAACGCCCAAGCAGAGGGACCGGAGGTCACTCCCTCCCCCATTGCGGGGCGTCTCAGAGACAGGAGAGGACAAGGAGATTCCTCACACATCCTGCCCCTCCGACTCGCAGGAGGGGAAGGAAACCAGTTACAGTATTGGCCCTTCTCCGCTTCAGACCTGTATAACTGGAAAACTCATAACCCGTCCTTTTCCCCAGACCCGCAGGCCCTAACAGCCCTGATAGAATCTATCCTCCTTACCCACCAACCCACGTGGGATGATTGCCAACAGCTCCTGCAGGTCCTCCTAACTACGGAGGAAAAGCAGAGAGTCATTCTGGAAGCCCGAAAGCATGTCCCGGGGGCAGACGGGAGACCAACCCAACTGCCAAACGAGATCGAGGCTGCCTTTCCCCTCACCAGAGCTGCTTGGGATTTCAACACGGCTGAAGGTAGGGTACACCTATGTCTTTATCGCCAGGTGCTTGTAGCGGGCCTCCAAGGGGCAGGAAGACGCCCCACCAATTTGGCCAAGGTAAGATCAGTAATGCAGGGAACTGACAAGCCGCCCACTGTGTTTCTAGAAAGACTTAGGCATATCGGAGGTACACTCCCTTCGACCCAGATAGCCCCGATCAGGAAGTAAGTGTTTCTATGTCTTTCATATGGCAATCAGCTCCTGATATTAGGAGTAAGCTCCAGAGAATGGAAAATCTGCAGGGGCAAGGTCTTAGGGATCTCTTAAGAGAGGCAGAGAGGATTTTTAACAAGAGAGAGACTCCAGAAGAAAAAGAGGAGAGACAGAGAAGAGAGGCAGAGGATAGAGAGACAGTGAGAGACAAAAGGCGGAATAAGGAATTGAGTAGAATCCTGGCCACAGTAGTAAGAAAGAAAGACGAGGGCAGAGTAGAGAGGAAGGGAGATTGAGGGCGTGTCCAACTAGGGTCAGACCAGTGTGCCTACTGCAAGGAAAAAGGACACTGGGCAAAAGATTGCCCCAGGAGAAAGAAAAACCCAGAAGAAAGAAAAGCCGAGGTCCTTCAGCTCGATTAGGGAAGTCGGGGCCAGGAACCCCCACCTGAGCCCAGGGTAACTCTTCAAGTGGGGGGAAGGCCAGTCACCTTTATGGTAGATACTGGGGCGCAACATTCCGTCCTCACCCAAAATTAAATAGAATCCTGGCCACAGTAGTGAGAAAAGAAAATGAAGTCAGAATAGAAATGGGGGGAGACCGAGGGCGTGTCCGGTTAGAAAAAGACCAGTGCGCCTACTGCAAGGAAAGAGGACACTGGGTAAAGAACTGCCCCAAGAAAAAGAAAAAACCAGCAAGAAGAAAGCTGAGATCCTCAACCTCGATTAGGGAGGTCGGGGCCAGGAACCCCCACCTGAGCCCAGGGTAACTCTTCATGTGGGGGGAGAGTCAGTCACCTTCATGGTAGATACTGGGGCGCAACATTCTGTCCTCACCCAGACGACTGGCCCACTTAGCAAGAAAACAATACGGGTAGAAGGAGCCACTGGAGCCAAGCGCTACCACTGGACTACAAACAGGGAGGTTCAGCTGGCTTCAGGAACGGTGACTCATACCTTCCTGCATGTACCAGACTGCCCCTACCCCCTGCTAGGACGGGACCTTTTAACCAAGCTTGGAGCACACATCTATTTTGAAAATAAGGGAGCCAAGGTTACTGATTCTAAAGGAGCACCTATACAAGTGCTCACCCTTAAACTAGAAGATGAATATAGACTGCATCATGATCCCCATCCTGTCCAAACAGGCATAGATCAGTGGCTGGCCAAGTACCCAGACGCTTGGGCGGAGACAGGGGGAATGGGGCTGGCCATACATCAGCCACCCCTAATTATTGAACTAAAAGCCACCGCAACCCCGGTGGCTGTCAAGCAATATCCTATGACAGCCGAAGCCCGCCAAGGAATCAGGCCACACATTAAAAGACTGCTGGAACAAGGGATATTAATCCCATGCCGGTCAGCCTGGAACACTCCTCTGTTGCCTGTTAAGAAACCTGGGAGCGGGGATTACAGACCAGTGCAGGACCTGAGGGAAATCAACAAGCGGGTAGAAGATATCCACCCCACGGTCCCGAACCCTTATAACTTATTGAGCACCCTGTCTCCCAGCCACACCTGGTACTCTGTATTGGACCTAAAGGATGCCTTCTTCTGCCTAAAGCTGCACCACCAGAGTCAGCCCCTGTTCACCTTCGAATGGAAGGACTCCGATCTGGGAATTTCCGGTCAGCTTACTTGGACACGGCTGCCACAGGGGTTCAAGAACAGCCCCACCCTCTTTGATGAGGCCCTGCACCAAGATCTGACTGCTTTCAGGACCCTCCACCCCCACCTGATTCTGTTGCAGTATGTAGATGACATTTTGCTGGCGGCAGAGACACGGGAAGAGTGCCTAACAGGTACGGAGGCTCT